GGCCCTGTACATAGATATCACAATATTATTGACTATATTCCCTATGCTATAATCAACATCTCTGTGACTATTCTGTAACTACCAATTTACCCTGCTTAATACCTTCACCTTTTTCACCCAGTCCCCCTACCCACCCACCAACAACAACTGTCAATCTGTTATCTGTTTCTATTTTGTTTATTTATTTTGTTCTTTAGATTCAACATATAAGTGAAATCATATGGTATTTTTCTTTTTCTGTCTGACTTATTTTACTTAGCATAATACTCTCAAAGGAGACTTTCTTGAGGAAGCAATATTTAAGCTTAAATTTGAGTCCTAGCCAGTTTTGCTCAGAGCATTGGCCCTCGGACTGAAGGGCCTCAGGCTTGATTCCAAGGGCACTTACCAAGGATGCAGGCTCAATTCCCAGCCTGGGGCCATACGTGGGAGGCAACTAATCAATGTGTCTCTCTCACATAGATATTTCTCTCTCTCTCTCCCCTCACCTCCACTCTCTCTAAAAACAATGGAAAAAATATCCTTGGTTGAGAATTTAAAAAAATAAAAAATAAATAAATAAATTTAACCAAAAAGCAAAATGGAGTGTGGAGAGGTAAAGAGCATTCAGAGTTAAAATATGTGCAAAACTGTCCTAAAGCAGAAAGGGGTTTGGCTAGTTTGTGAATCTAAAGGAAGGTAGATGTAATTGAAGCCCCCCAAAAGGGGGTGGTGGGTAACAAGTGTGTAAGCAAAAGTAGTAAGACCATAAGAATCTTCACTGTATTCTTAGAATTTTATTCTGCATCCTAAACATAATTGATAACATTGGGAACTGTTCGGCGGTCCAAATTTGTGTTTATAAAGATATTTCTAGATTATATGTAAAAACCAATGAAAAGAACTAGTCCAAATTGAAAATGGCTTAGAAAAAGGAGGCAACAGAGGTTATGGAGAGATGGGGACAGGTTCAAGGTATTTTTAGAAGGTAGAAACAACAGAGTCTGGTGAATGACTTAATGTAGCAGTTGAAATAGGTATCAAGGATTTCTCTTGGGTTTCTGGCATAAGATCCCGGTACATGTGTTGTCTTGCTTGGGTGCTTATATTTTTTGTTCTTCTAAGAATATCTATTTTTCCTCCCTCTTCACTTCCCTACTCCTATGCATCCTTCAAAATTCAATGTAAAGAGCATCTGTTCTATATGTGCTTCGTTTCCCTTCAGGTCATGTAAAATGTAGCTACATTGTCCTTCAGCATCTTGTGCTTTCTTTTATTTCATGAACTCATCCCACAGTCTTATACACTTATTAATTTTTCCCACCCAACTGGAAATGCTTTGAAGTCACAGATTGTGTTTTTATCTCTGTATATCTCATGTTTAGCATAGGATGTAGCACATAATAGGTGATATAGTTTTATAGGCTTGCAGAGAAAGGGGACCAAAACAACAGCCTGAGGACAGTGAGAGATAATCACCAATTGCATACATGATGTAATCAAAGTTATAATGCTCTGCAGCTGAGAAGGAACACAAATCCTTCATGGTTCAGAATTTTTCATTAAGCATTTAACATGTTACTCAGAGCAAGCTATTTGAGGTTATATCTTGTTTCCATCTGTATCAATTTGCCAAGTGAAGTGACCTGGTTTTCTATGCTTACATTCTATATTTTCTATGTTTGTATTCATTTGATTATCAATGAGCATGAATAGAAACAACTCTCAATATATGAAGATATCAATAAACAATAATTTGAACTAAATGTACAGTCCACAAATGAGAACCTGATACATATATAACCTGGTTTTGGGGAAAGGGACACCATATTCTATAGCAAAAAAAAAAAAAAATCAACAGCTTGAAATCTAATTCATATTAAATTAGAATTATATACAATAAGATTTAAAATTTTTTTAACACTTTATTAAATTTATTGGGATGACAGTGGTTAATATGAAAATATAGGTTTCCAGTGTGGGTTTCTAATAATAAGATTTTTAATTTCAAGTAAGTTACAATATGATCAAAAGGATGTATCAAAACAAAATGCCCTAGGTCATTTTCTCAAATGTTTTTAAGAAGCCCAGACTTCTCTGAAAAGTTTTCTCAAAGGATCTTGAATTCTAGAATGGAGGGCAGGAGCTTCTTCGCTTTTAAAACATATAGGAAGCTGTGACCCTAAATGACAGAAAATACAACTTAAGAGAGGGTCACTGAACTGCCTCTCCATTCTTTCAAACCCCCCTAGGACTTTGCTTCTTTTTACAGTAATAACTGATTTCAAAGATAATATAAATATTTCTGTATTTGTCTTAATTTATCTTCCTGAAATAAAAATCCCTCAAAGGCTTGAATTGTACTATTTTAATCTTTTATTTCTAGAGGATAAACAGGTTCTTTTGTAAATATTAGGTGTTTAAATATTATTTTGCTGATTGACTCATACAGTGTTTACCTCTAATGACTTACTGTTAATCAAAATTGACATGTGTGCTTATTAGTATGAAAGGTTGGACATCAAGGCCTTTAGTCAAAATGTTCTTTCCTGTATTTTTCCATAATTTACTATAGAAAGAGCAAAGTGTACTTAACACAATGTTTAATACTTAGAGATAGTCTATTTTAAAGATTAAATTAAAGCTTGAATTTATTCATGTTTGGTAACTTTATAAGGAGTTTAATTTAATTTCTGAGTGAGGTTTCCTTACATGGAAGAATAGACTCAACATCTTTCAATAGGTATTCTTAGGTATTTTCTATGGATTTGCAGAAGCTAGACCCATTGGTTACTGACTTTGAAAGTGTTGTCTGTACGTAAGGGGAGCAATTACTTCTTTAAGAACATTGGTAGCAGATAATATGCCTAATTCTTGTGAAGGCTAAAGGGAACCTACATTTTCAGAATTGATATAGATTTGAAAGAAAATAATTCTAAGCTGAATATAGGGAGAAAATAAAACCATACAAATCTTTCAAAGATTTCAGAGGAAAACTATTCAAAAACCTCAGTCAGTAGGATGACAAACAGATCTGAAGAGGAATTGAAAAATAGTCATTTATTATATAAATTGTGAGATAAGTATCCTTGATAGGTGTGTTCTTCTCTAATTTGTATGATTTTAAAAATGTACCAATATGAATTTCCTCTTGAGGGGCCATTAAGTCAGCTAGACTGAGTTATAGTTATGTAGCTTGAGCAGGAGAAAAGTCAGTTATTTGGGACTTTCACCTTCCTGGAGCAGGATACCAATGGAAAATTGTTAACCAATATTCCCATTAGAGATGCCAAGAAATGAAATAATGAGAAAATTGAATTGAAAGTAATCTAGTGCTCTGTGTCTCCATTTCAAACTTCTTCTAAAGCTATTTTATTTATAGCCATGTAAAGGTATGAGTTCAGCTCTCTGTCAGTATGGAATCTCAAATGATGGATGTGCCTTGTGGATATCTAAAGGAGTCATCATTACATCTTCTCCTTCATCATTACATCCTGAAAGAGGGATTTATGATTTATTCGCATATACTGCACTATTCAAGCCATAGACATGAGAGTGTAGTGAGCAAAAGGTAGGCTTTTGAAACACCAGTGCATATAAAGCTGAAACAATGATAGAAAATAATAAAAGAAGTGATTTGTCATTTCATAAATGATATATTATACATTCTCCAACAAGGTAAAAGATTCAGAGATTTTTCCCAGAGATTTCTCTTCTGTAACTCATAATAGGATATGCAAAGCTATCAACATTCCAGAATCAAGATATTAAGAAAGTGGATTTAGAGGATTATCAAACATGGACTGTAGCTAATCGCTTCTAAAACTTTACAAAGTGATTATTTTTGCTTTAGAAACAAAACTCAACTCCTTGAGGAAGTACTTTCTGATTAACAACATGCTAATTGCCTGCACTTAAATCTTACTAATTTGGTTCAACCGACGAAGAGGTCTTGTTGAATTTTGGGACAATTAAAAATGAGTACATTTTACTTATTTCAGCAGTATCCTTCAAGCAAATATCCTGCAGGATTTGCAGGAAGAGATACAAGATAATTATTTATAGAATAATATTCTATATACACAGTAGGAACTTGAATTAAAATTGCTTGATGAGGGTGAAACCCATTGTAAGTGAGGATAAGAGATATTCAGACCAAGGGAATAACAAAGGTAAGGAATGAGGTGTAGTCAAAGGAACTCACAGTCTAAACGAGCAGGCAACCATGAGAGGTCCAGAAGTATATGTTTTTCCATATCATGAAATAATGCTTATATTCAATGCCAGTGTGTTTCTAGACATAGAATGCTACAACAGACTCTACTTGGAAATTTTCAACTAGTTCTTTAAAGTAGCTCTTTGAATGAGCAGTAAAGCAGTTTTAAGACATAGTTGCTACTTTGACTGAGGAAGGAAAGGTGTTCCCAATTGCAATAGTCCTACACCTGATGTGATAAAAAGGAAACTGATGGAAGAATGAAACATGGCTGGATTTTTTGCTGTAACAATATTTTGATGTTTTGGGTCTCAGTTTCCTCATCTGCAAAATGAGGATGGTAAATAAAATGACTTCTATATCTAGAGTCCTTTCCAAATGCACCATTAACTTGGTTAACTATTTGTGCAATACAAGATCCAGACACTGATAAAGTGAGAAAATAACCAAATAAAATGGACAATCACATCAGTTACATTATCCAGAGCACAGTTTTTTAAATGCAGTAGATATCCATTAGTGGATCATGAAATCAAAATCAACTCGATGTATTTCAACCATCATCAATTAGGAAGAAATAGAATAGGACGGAAAATATGAGAGTGCATGGCAAGAAGAAAGAACAAATATTGTTTCTTGAAGCTACTATTGTGGTAGCTTAAATATTATATATTAATGTGTGTGTGTGTACTGAGTCATAGTGTAAAACATATTTCTTATTCTCCAAAGACATCAGCAACATTTGCAAGCCGCTTATTTAGAGTGCCTTTATCTGAGCCAAAGTAGAAAAGAGGTTTTTACTCACCAATAGTGGGGTCATGGTAATCAGGGAACTGATGACTAATAAACTGCATTGTCATTGCTGGAAAAAAAATAAATTCAGTTTAATAATAATCAACCAATTCATCAATAGATAGTTACCATCAATCTTTTAACAGGTTCTAGTGAGCAACTGATTTCTGTGAGTGACTAATTACACATGAACCACAAAATGATTATAATAAGAGAAAATTTTAGATGGAAAAATGTACCTAGAGTGTAAAATAATGCCAGATAATTGTCTGGAATAATGTCCAGATTCGAAGCATATTTCAACAAAAATTGCATTGTAGTAAAAACAAGGTTCTCTATATTACTTATAAAGTATTATATGAGTTGTTATCCTTGGCTTTTTACTGTTGAAAGTGTTTAGGTCACTTTTATTTTGCTTAATCCATGTTATTTAGAACCTTTTATTAATTTTCATTACTTCTATAGTATCTCCACTAAAGACTCCACGTTCTTCTGAAATATATACATTTATAATACATTTTCAATGTTCCTCTTATAGTTTCCTCATGTAAATTTCCATTACTAGGAGACAAGGGCATTCTGAAGGAAAAGAGAGCGAGAAGGACTCTTGCCTTGACCAAACGAGTCAGGTTCCTCTCAAGCTCTCTTCTCAACTAGGTGTTGACTTTGGCCCCTGACCTTGCTAATCCTGTGTACCCCATGTGAAGTAGGAATCCTGCTAAATCAGTTTAGTGAGACTCTCCCACCCCTGATATCTGATCACCCTCAATATCAGATAAAATTCCTCATACCCTATAATTAAAATTTTTTAAATTAAATTTATTGGGGTAACTCTTGATGTCTGATCACTGTGGCCTGTCTTCAACAAGAATTTAAGTCTGTTCAGCAAGAATCCCCCCACTCTTGATGCTTCCTCTTCAGGTAAACAAACTGAAAACAACATGTGACCAAATATGTTTCAGTCCTGGATTGTGAGCTTGGTTCAATATTAGTATGTCTATTAATATGTCACCATATTATTAGTTTTTAGGAGAAAAATGACATTATTATCTCCATTATACTGAAAAAGCCTTTGAAAAATACAACTTTATTTCTTATTGAAGATTTTAAAAAAGCAGAAATGAATGACTACTTTCATAATATGATGAAATATGTAAATATATCACCATATGAATGCCAGTATCTTACTGTGGAAAAAAAAGCTATCCCCACTAAGGCCAAGAAAATAATAAAAGATGATGACTACCTGCACTATTTAATATTGTCTTGAATGAATTAACCAATGAATATACACAAGATAAATTATGAAAATAAAAATTAGAAACTATTTCTACTTGTAGATGATATGATAGAAACTCCTAGAAATCATGATAAAAGAACTCAAAAAATAAAAATATTTTAGCAAGGTAGAAGAATTTAAGATTAACATATGAAAATCAACAGCCTTCATGAAAACAAATGATAGCTAGCTACCCCAATAGTTCACTTTGATACAGAGACTCAGTGGTCAAAAACCAGTATTTGCCAGATTCATATGAATAATTCTATTTTGACTAAGGGCTTTAAGACACTTGATGAGATCTAACTGATTCTTGTGCTTGCCTTCCATGAGGCACTCCTTTCTCAGCATTCTTATTTCTGGCTAATGGACTCCTGCTGAGTTCAGTTTTACAGTCTCAGAGACAAGAATTGCTAATAATGTACATTGACAATGATTTTGACTGTGAGTGACTTTTTAATACGATAAATCCATTCTTATAGCATTCAGAGGTTCACTACTTTGTAGGACATTTAAAAACTATTTGTACATTTCAAAAAAAAAGTACATACAAAAAGACTTCCATTCGTGTTAGACTACAGGGTAAACTCTGAAAAATGTTCTCAATCTGCTCACTTAGCAGATTTTCTAAAGTGTATGGAAAAGTTATCCTAGCCTCAATGTGAGATTGCTCCTGTTCAAAATTTTCCAAGGTGATTCTTATCTTTTAGAGAACAGCATAGCAACAGCCAGGGTAAGTTCTAGGATAATATTTGTAAGATTCATTTCTAATATCTTATGCTTTCCTGTGTCCTTCTTAAATATATTGAGTATAAATTGGTCATGCTTGCCAAGTGGGTTTTGTCAACTTGATCCATTGAACTGGTTCACACTTAACCAAAGTATGTGCCCTGGACCCAGAATTGAACCTGAGACCCTTCAGTCCACAGGCAAATGCTCTAACCACTGAGCCAAACGGGTGAGGGCTAACCTAGTTATTAACAACAGGAAAGAAACAAAGGGAAGATAGACACATCCTCAGTAAAACTGGGGTAACAGGGAAGACACTTACTGTCAGTCACACATGAGAAAAAAGATAATTGGCCAGAATGGGTGTGGCCACTGCAAGGGCTCCACATTTGGGATAATTAATCCCCTGAACAAAGGAAGCTCTTTCAGTCTCTCTTGGTTCCTCTTAGGCTCTTGGGACTCTTATTGCTCTGGGCATGCTCTCCCACATGGTCCAGGGCCATGTGGACCCCCACAGACAATGGACTAATGGACTACAACTAGCCTGATGCTGAACTGGACCCGGCTCCAACATGGAAAGGAAACTCTGGACACTAGCTTTGCTTCTATCTTTACTGACACCCCAGCTACACTCCTATGACTGGAATGGGACTTCGCAAACCCAGGAATATAAATTCTATGCAAATAAAAATCACTCATCCTCCTGTGTGGGTCTCAGAGAAAATTCTTTATCTCAAGATATCATAAGAACTCTATCCCCAGGACCTATGGGAAAAGGGACACCTCAATTTCTCCAATAACATTTGGATACTTCCTCTCTCATGTCCTCCATCTGGTCATGATGAATTTTTATTTTTGCCTCCAAAATATCTTTCAAATATGTCTTGATTCTTTCTGGTATTATTCCAGTTCAGAATCTTATGTTTCTCTTGAAAATCTCTATTGCAATAGACACAAAACTGAATTCTCTGTTCCTGTTTTATTTCCATTCCATTAGAACTTTCATGATGGTCACAGAATCATCATTTTAAAAAGAATTACGTCACTCATATGTCAGCAAGTATTAGGATAAAGACCACAGTCATTAACATGTAACACTAGCATATGCCCATCACACCTTTTCAGCCTCGACTTATAACACTACCCAGACAGCTACTCTCTGTTCTCAGACTTTCTGAAGTACTTTCCTCCATTAGCATGCCTTCATCCTCTGGCTTAGAACACCCTTCACCTTCTTCTTTATTGTGATATGGTCCTAACAAAGACTCTCCTTGACCAAACTTGAGTCAGACTCCTCGAAACCTTCCTCTGAAGCAGGTCTTGACTTTTAACTTCTGTGTTCATCTCTGCTTCACCCAGTTTTAGCAAGAGCTCTGCTGAGTCAGTTTAGAGTGATTTCCCCACACTAGATATATGATCACCCATGGTATTAATCCCCAGCGTCCTCCAGATAACCTCTAATTACCTGGCCTATCTTCATAAAGTATCCTACTAACTCCGATTAACCAGAATCCCCCCTACTCCTGTTGTTTCCTCTTAGTAATTTTCCATTCACTGACCCCCCACCCTGCTCCTTTGCTATATATTCCCACTTGTCCCTGCTGCATTTGGAATTAAAACTAGTTCTAAACTGAGATCTCTTTCCCCTATTGCCATAGTTCCTGAATAAAATCTAGTTTTGATGCTTTAATTACTGTCCATGGGTAGTTTTCTTTAATAATGCTAATAATGATCTATATCTCTGCACAAATGCCATACAAGTCAATCAACACATTGAAACCCTTGATCTACCATGAGCCAATACATGGGAGTCATAGAAGCTACCAAGAAATGTTAGAAAACACTGTGTGTGGTTATGGGCTAAGTTAATTACCATAAGCTTAGGAAAGCATTAAGAAGGCTGAAGAAGTCTGGGCCACACTTTAAGGAAAAATATATAAGCATTTTAAGAACTGACAGATATATTTATATTAGACTTCAGAATCACAAAACTAGTATCAGAAATAAATGAATAAAGCAAAGGTTTTTATCTGTTACACTTATTTATAAGAACACCTAGCATATATTTAGATGATGGAGTTTGTGCTTTAATGGAAACCTGCTGCTTACTGTATAATTGAAAAAGCCCTCAATTCTCAAATCTTCTGATCTACCACTGAGACAAAACCAAAGAAGAGGGAGCCAGCTGAGCTTTGTTCCAGAACTTCAAAGATAATTTTAGAAAGATTGATTTAAGAGTTTCTTTTGTGTTTTACAAAGTAGATGCCTGATACGACAGCTCAGAATCATTTCTTTTTGCAGGGATAATATTTAAAACAAACAATTTTTGAAAAATCTCTCCTAAATGCCTATCAAGTTCAATGTTGAATATAAGAATGTTGCTGAATACTATCAATTGAACTAGAGACTAAATTCTATTTATTTTATGATGTATGGGTTTACATCCTCAAAATCATGTTATTTGTCTTCTTATAATTCAGTTTTACGAGTTCTTCATATTTTTTGAGGAATAGTCTTTTATCAGATGTATCTTTTGTAAACAGTTTCTCCTAGTTTGTGGCTTGTCTACTAATTCTCTTGATATTGTATTTGGCAGAGCAGAAGTCTTTAATTGTAATGAAGTCCAGCTTATTATTTATTTTGGTACATGAATTGTGCCTTTGGTATTTAATCTAAGAAAGGCATAACTCATGAACAAAATAAGGCCCAAGGTCCTCTAGGTTTTCTCCCATGTTATGTTTTAGGAGTTTATAGGTTTGAATTGTATATTTAGGCCTATGATCTATTTTGGGTTCATTTCTGTGACTTGTGTAAGGTCCGTGCCAAGATACTTTTTCCCCCCACGTGAATAGTTTTTCAAGCACCATTTGTTAAAGAGACTCTCTTTGCTCTTTTGTATTGCCTTTACTCCTTTGTCAAAGATCAGTTGACTCTTTTTATGGGACTCTATTTCTGGGCTCTCTATTTTGTTTCATTGGTATGTTTGCCTACTCTTTCACCAATATCACGTTGCGTTGATTACTGTAGCTTTATAGTACGTCCTGAAGTCAGGTAGTGTTAGT